GGATTGGAAGTATGATGTTGCAGTCCAGGGGCATAGCTGGGGGGGGGGGGGGGGGGGGGCATGGCCGTAGTTTGCTTTTGCTGGCTAGTTGTACTATCATACATGTTATGCAGGATGGCTGGTGCATGGCATCATAGTAATTATGTGCATGCTGCACCTAGGTCCAAAATTTTAGGGGGTGCACATCCCCCCCCCCCCACACACACACCACCTTTTTCTCACCTTTTGTGCCGTTGGCCTGGGTAGCTACTTGCGCGCCCATATCTGCCTTAGCCACCCAGGCCCTTTATCTTGCCGCCCTTACTCGAGCTCTCTCTCTCTCTCTTCCATAATGTAGTCGTTTCGTTCGTCTTTGTATCCGTCTCTTCGTCTGTAATACATGCGTTTCAAACTACTCGTTCCCGGTGTCCGTTGTGTCTGCGGAGTATGACCCCTCTTCGTACTCAACAATGGCACCCAACGTGGGGCTCGAACCCACGACCCTGAGATAAAGTTCGTTCTCAACATATGTTTTACCTTCTGTATGGCAATGTTACATGTGATTCACTGTTGCCGCATATGAATGCAGCGGTCTCAAAGTGAAAATAAGCCAGCAACAAGGGAATGCGGACTTCAAAATGCGGTCCAACTTGGCAACAACTGCAACCCCCGCCCCCTTGGGTTTATCGGCCTTCCTTTGCCTTGTTTGTTTGTTTGTTTGTTTGTTTATTTGTTTGTTTGTTTATTTGTTTACCGGGTTATCTATCTACAGACTTAGTTTGCCTTCTGTCGCACAGTAGCAACCATGTTTTTGCTCTTGTGTCCGTGTTCTGCTCGGGTTGTTGCTGTTGCTGATGGTGCGTGTGTGTGTGTACGTGTGTTTGTGAATGTGTGTGTGTGTGTGCACGTATGTTTGTGTGTCTGTGTGCGCATGTACGTGTACATGTGTCTATGTATGTGTGTGTGTGCACGTGCGTCCGTCTTCAGATCGGTGAAGCCATGGGCTTAGGTTACACGGTCAACATCCCGTTCTCAAGTACAAGTAAGTGCGTCTAGGTAGCCATGAAGTCGAGACCCTAGGCCGGCAGAGCTCCCTAAACCTCACCACCACTGCCACGATTCAGGTTGTGCGTGCTTCCCCCAGCTGCATCTCATGTTTGGCATTTAAGTGGTCTTTGTAAAAAAATATTTAAAAAATTACAAAAGTGGGAGTTCTGTATGCTGTATTCAATGTGTGCAAGCCACACAGGACAATCCTAGGTCTGTAGGGCAGTGTATAGGAATTGTCACAGCATTGTGTCTCTCCAAATTCTATCTATCTATCTGTCTATCTATCTATATCTATATCTAAGTCTCCTGTACCGGACTTCTGAGTTTGAATGTTCGACCATGGTTTGGTTTCTGTGTGTGTGTGTGTGTGTCTGTGTGTGTCTGTGTGTGTCTGTGTGTGTCTGTGTGTGTCTGTGTGTGTCGGTACGTGCATGTGTGGGCGGGGGTGTTTGCTTGCTCGTGTGTTTGTGTGGGTGGGTATGTGTGTGTGTGTGCTTGCGTGCTCGCGTACTTGGATGCGTGCGTGCGTGCGTGTGCATGTATCTGCACATGTATGATTGTCCTTGTTGGCATCTTGCGTGTGATATTACCTCTTGCTCAGCTCCGGATTTCGTCGCCATGAGAGACGCAGACTATGTAGCAGCGTTCAAGTGAGTTCTGAGTACCTCTGCATCTTGCTATAACTTACGTGCCTCTGCATCGTGCAATAGGTACCTTTGCATTGTGAAACAAGTACCTCTGTACCGTGCAATAAGTACCTCTGCATTGTGTAATAAGTACTTCTGCATCGTGCAATTAAGACCTCTGCATCGTGTAATAAGTACCTCTGCATCGTGTAATAAGTACCTCTGCACCGTGCAATAAGGGGGTGCACGTGCCCCCCCCCCCCCCCCCTTGCCCTATGCAGGCTAAGCACCTGCTCTTTGGCTGTTGAAATGCTCACCTTCTGTTTGTCCACTCTTGTTGTGCTGTTCAGGCATATTGTGTTGCCAATTGCAAAGGAATTTGGTCCAGATATTGTACTAGTGTCAGCTGGCTTTGATGCCATGGACGGACATGGCTTTGAAATTGGCGGGTACAAAGTTACGCCTGACTGTAAGTTCAGTGTACTGTGCTGCTGCTGCTGCTGCTGCTGCTGCTGCTGCTGATACTGCTGCTGATACTGCTGCTGCTGCTGATACTGCTGCTGCTACTGCTGCTGCTACTGCTGCTGCTGCTGCTACTGCTGCTGCTACTGCTGCTGCTGCTGCTGCTGCTGCTGCTGTTATTGACCGCCTGTTGTTGCCTTTGCTGCTGCTATTGCTATTGCTGCTGCTACTGCTGCTGCTTGTGTTGCTGCTGCTGCTTGTGTTGCGGCTGCTGCTGGTGGTGGTGCTGCTAATGCTGCTGCTGTTGTTGTGGCTGCTTCTGTTGCTGCTGCTGGTGTTGCCGGTGGTGCTGGTGTTGCCATTGCTGTTGGTGCTGCTGCTGGTGGCGGCAGTGCTGCCACCACCGCTGTTGCAGCTGCTGTTGCTGGTCTTGCTGCTGCTGCTGTTGTTGCTGCTTCTGCTGTTGCTTCTGCTGTTGCTGCTGTTGCCGCTGCTGGTAGTGCTGTTTCTGCTGCTGCTGGTGGTGCTGGTGGTGCTGGTGGTGGCGCTGGTGGTGCTGGTGGTGCTGGTGGTGGTGCTGGTGCTGCTGGTGGTGCTGGTGGTGCTGGTGGTGCTGGTGGTGCTGGTGGTGGCGCTGGTGGTGCTGGTGGTGGTGCTGGTGCTGCTGGTGGTGCTGGTGGTGCTGGTGGTGGCGCTTGTGGTGCTGGTGCTGGTGGTGATGCTAGTGGTAGTGGTGGTGGTGGTCCTGTTCCTGCTTCTGTACCTGTTCCTGTTCCTCCCTTGTTTTCTGTTTTGCGTAATTTCTCCCGTTCACTGTGCTTTGCTGTCCACAACCCCTGTGTGTGTTTGTCTGTTTCTGTATGGGTTCGAACTTACGCATGAATGTACGCACGTGCACACGCACAATCGCCCGTGCCCTCAAATAACCACTCTTGTTCCGCCGCGCATGCACTGCCTTTTTCCCTGCTTCTAGTTTCCAGCTGATGTATTCTCGCTTGTTTTGTGTGTGTGTGCGTGTGTGTGTGTGTGTCTGTGTGTGTCTGTGTCTGTGTGGTGTGTGTGTGTGTGTTGTTGGCAATGTCCATCCTGTGTAGGTTACGGCTACATGACATCACAGCTAATGACCGTCACGAATGTGCCAGGAAGAGTGGTGCTGGCGTTAGAAGGCGGGTACGTACTCGCTACTATGTCTATGCAAGTGGTGGATACCTGGCGTTGGTGTGTGGTTGATACCTGGTGTTGGTGTGGTTGATGCCTGGTGTTGGTGTGTGGTGGATCCTGGTGTTGGTGTTTGGTTGATACCTGGTGTTGGTGTGTGGTTGATGCCTGGTGTTGGTGTGTGGTGAATACCTGGTGTTGATGTGTGGTTGATGCCTGGCGTTGGTGTGTGGTGGATACCTGGTGTTGGTGTGTGGTTGATGCCTGGTGTTGGTGTGTGGTTGATGCCTGGCGTTGGTGTGTGGTGGATACCTGGTGTTGATGTGTGGTTGATGCCTGGTGTTGGTGTGTGGTTGATGCCTGGCGTTGGTGTGTGGTGGATACCTGGTGTTGATGTGTGGTTGATGCCTGGCGTTGGTGTGTGGTTGATGCCTGGTGTTGATGTGTGGTGGATACCTGGTGTTGGTGTGTGGTGGATACCTGGTGTTGGTGTGTGGTGGATACCTGGTGTTGGTGTGTGGTGGATACCTGGTGTTGGTGTGTAGTGCGCCCTGACAGTAGTCACGCAGGGCCGTCTCATCGACTTTGGAGGTGGGGCGGCCATGGAAGGGGGGGGGGGGGGGGGGTCTAGGGTCCTCTCCCAAGGGAAATAAATCTAAAATTGAAGCCGATTGCAAACATTTCAGGGCGTTAGTGCCATTTCAGTGTAACTACGATAAATGACTTGATTCTGCAACAAACCAAGCAGACGCTACGATCGGGGACAGGGATTCTTCATTATTCGCCACGTTTACGCTGAGCCACGATCATGCGCTTTGCTCCAAAAAAATGTATCGGCCACAGAAGTGGGGCGGCCTGAGCTGCCCCAGCCACCCATGCTGTGACAGCCACCCATGCTGTGGCAGCCTAGTGGTGTATTCAATGACGTCATTTCTGTCCTTGGAAGACTTTGCGGGTGAAAAAATGTTCATTCACATATGGCTGAGTGTGGTTCTTGTTTTGTGTTTATGGCAAATGTGATCGGATCGCAGAATGGCGACAGGGACATATAGAATAATATTGGAAAGGCGTGGAACACATGTGTGTTTGTTCATGTGTTCATGTGTGTGTTCATGTGTTCATGTGTGTGTTCATGTATGTGTTCATGTGTGTGTTCATGTGTGTGTTCATGTGTGTGTTCATGTGTTCATGTGTGTGTTCATGTGTGTGTTCATGTGTTCATGTGTGTGTTCATGTGTGTGTTCATGTGTTCATGTGTTCATGTGTGTGTGTTTGTTCATGTGTTCATGTGTTCATGTGTGTGTTCATGTGTTCATGTGTGTGTGCATGACACGTCTCCTCTTCCTGTTGACAGCTATGACCTGAAGAAGATTTGTGATGCTTCGTTCGCGTGTGTAGAAGCGTTGATGGGAAGAGAGGTCAGTGAGGAGACATTCAACACACCGCATCCTTCTCCTCCTTTCTTCCATCTTCCACTCCGTATAATTCGTTGACTTGTCTCTTAGCCTCTCTCTCTCTCTCTCTCTCTCTCTCTCTCTCTCTCTCTCTCTCTCTCTCTCTCTCTCTCTCTCTCTCTCTCTCTTTTTCTCTCTCTCTCTCTTTCTCTCTCTCTCTCTCTCTCTCTCTCTCTCTCTCTCTCTCTCTCTCTCTCTCTCTCTCTCTCTCTCTCTCTCTCTCTCTCTCTCTCTCTCTCTTTCTCTCTCTCTCTCTCTCTCTTTTTCTCTCTCTCTCTCTCTCTCTCTATTTCTCTCTCTCTCTCTCTCTCTTTCTCTCTCTCTCTCTCTCTCTCTCTCTCTCTCTCTCTCTCTCTCTATTTCTCTCTCTCTCTCTCTCTCTCTCTCTCTCTCTCTCTCTCTTTCATGACCTTCATCATCCTCATTATGGCAGTGTGTGTGTATGTGTGTTTCTTTGATTGTTTGTGTTCTCTGTACCAGTATGATGAGCCGGGTGGAGGTTGTCCTGTCAGTGACGCTGCCATTAGAGCCATAGAGGAAACCGCATCTTATCTGCGTAGGTTTTAATACAGTGCTTCTGCGTGTGTGTGTGAGGGGGGGGGGGGGGGGGACGTGCGGTCGTACATGTGTGATTGTGTGATCGGGTGTGTATGTGAGGAGGGGTGCTTTGGGTGTGTGTATGGGTGGGGGGGGGGGGGGGGGGAGGATGTGTGACTATACACTTGTAATGTTAAAGTGATCAACCATTGCATGTTGTTGTCGATCAGGTTAGAATCAAAATCAGTGTACAACGAAAGCGACATGTTGAGGAGGTGGAATGCGCGTAGCTCCTGTTGTACTGCCGAAGAGAATGAAAAACTGCGAAAACATGCGGGGAATGCGCATCGTTTAGATAGATGTGTGACTGCTCCCTTATCCGACCATTCTTCTTACCCTTACCTTAGCCCCCTGGAGACAGCCCGTGCCCCGAGGAGCGTGGATAGTCGGCACTCTACTCTACTTGGTAGATTGTACTTGTCAGGGAGTTAGAGTTTTGTATGTATGTGTGTTTCTAAGCTAAAGTTCAAATTTTTAACATAAAAATCCGAAGGGATAGACACACTTTGGCAGTATGATTATCGGCTGCACGAAAACCTGCGCCCGATAATCGTATTGCAAAGACGTTTCTACCGGTTCGAATAATAACGATATGGGCTTTCAAGCCCTGTCGTTATATTGTGGATAAGGTATTTATGACAATGTGCGTGCTCCGTGTGTGCGTGTGTATGTGCGTGTTTTGTGCATGGGTGTCTGTCTGTTTGTGTGTGTGCATGCTTGTTTGTATGGGCGCGTATGTGTGTGTGTGTGTCTGTGTCTGTGTGTGCGCGCGCGCGTGGTTTTGTTCCCCCGTACGCAGCCAAGTACTGGCGGTGCATGAGCACCGAGCGGCGACCTCGCATGCGCAGCGAGGCCGAAGTGGCCGGAGTCCTCGCTTCCATGGCAACCGTCAGCGGTGGCAGTGGTGGAGGTGGCGGCCCCGGCGGTGGAGCAGCTGGCCATAGAAGCCTAGTCTCAGCCTCGTCAGCATCATCGGTAGCGGCAGCATCTGATCGCTACGTGCCGGGCATGGTAGGGCAGGCACAGGTGGCAATGTCAACTACTCGCCCTGTGCCGCAGCGCCAGCAGCTTGCCTCTGAGACAATGGACGACGACGACGACGACGACGAGGAGGAGGAGGAGGAGGAGGAGGACGACGACGAGCAGGGCGTATATTACGACGACGGAATGCAGCCGGGTGAATCTTCCGTATAGCTCTCCGCCGCTCTGTTGCCCGTCGTCCCTGTGTCACAACCTGTCTCGTATGTCCGTGTGCCATAATCGGACTTGCCCGTCTCTGTGCCACAGCCTGACTTGTCTGTTCGTGGGCCACAGTCGGACTTTCCTGTCTCTGTGCCACAGGTTGACTTGCGTGCTCATGTGGCACTAGGAGATTTGCGGTCGACGAATTACCAACAGACGCGTCTGAGAGAGAGAGAGAGAGAGAGAGAGAGACAGACACTGACACTGAGACCGAGGTTGAAACTGCGTGGCGGCACACTTTCCGGTGCGCGTCTGGTGTGAACGTATCACTAATGCAGTGTGCTGTGTGCATATGTACATTCCCACTGTGTATGGTCAATCCACAGCACAGCTGCTTGAGGATGTCGCTGTGTGCAGTAAAGCCGCAGCACGGCCGTATGAGTACGCACAGTGCGACTCAATGAAGACTGTTCCGACTGTGTGATATCAAGAAAAATAGCTGTATGCCCGATTGCCCGGACATGTGCATCTGTCCAAAGTGTTGAGTCTACTGTCTTGATTTCCCGCATAGCTCTCAGTCCCGTACCTCAAGATTGTAGAAATGGCACAGTGCTGACGCTTGACGTGCCTGAAAACAAACATTCCGAATACTACTCACTTCAGTGCTATAACCCTCGATGATGTCATCTCGTTCCCTGCTGGCTGCAGTGATGTCATCATCCTTGCAAAGACTATGTCGTTACAGTGGGATGTGACTGGGATGGTGTTATCCACATCATCATCATCATCCTCCTTCACATCATATCTCTCCGCACCCTACCCCAATGCTGCATGGATTTGCGTAGCTATGTGCTGAACGGCCGCCGAGAAAGAACGATTTCGAATTCTCCGAACATCGCTGCCGCCCAATTCCCTCCTCAGCTGTCTTTCATTTATGCCCCCCCCCCCCCAGTTGTTGTCGGAGTCATAGCCTATTATAGGTCTGTGCACACGTGTTGTTTTGTTGATCAATTGTCTGCTACAACTCTCTATGAGGTGATCCGGATAGCGAGTAACATTTTTGTACCCGTCCGTTATTATTAACTTCATGCTGTTCTGCTCTGGATTTCTATTTCTATTGTCACAACGTACCAAGTACCACCACCCATCCCCTCCCTCCCCTCCCCCCCCCCCCGAATTTCTATGATTTTGGTTGACTCGTACGTGTACGTTTCCGCTCGCACCGCAACGTACCTCCGCTATTATTTCCACGTGCCACTCAGTTTGCTGTCCGCGTTGTTATGGTCATTACCTTTGAATGCTTCCGCTCACACAGTCATTCCCCGCATGGTCATTCCCCACATGGTCATTCCTCTCATGGTCATTCCCCTCATGGTCATTCCCGTCATCGACAATCCCACTCTCTAGATAGCCACCAGTCGATTACCGATTTATCCCGTAGACCGTTCCCGAATGCCGTGCTGAAATTTGATTCTGACGGCCTATCCGTTGTAGAGGCTCCAACGGACTTCGTCCCACTTGCGTGTACGTGCGTGCTTACATGTGTGAGTGCGGGGCAGAGTGCCCGATAACCTTATCAAAATCATTAAGAGATGCCTTACAGTCCATTCAGAAAACGATGATAATCCTAGCTTTTGGCCATAAACGGGTCAAATTTTGAGTTTTTGACACAATTTTTTTGCCAATCCCCATGGAATGCTCTTCCAATTGTGTTTTTGAAGTCTATTAAGAGCAAGCCATAACAAGAATAGGATTTCGGCCAGGTTTGGCCCCCAAAGCACTGACTTGGGTAAAAAGTTAAAAACCATGAAAATCCAGGCCGTTTACTCCACTTGCATAACAGTACATTTGCGGTTCGAACCCCAGTTGAGGTACCTTTTTTGGACCCTTTTTCAAGTTTCGAATCTCGCGGCACTGCACAGTTTACCACAAAATCGCCAAACACGGGAGCTCTCCAGACCCGGTACCCAGCGCTCATCTTTTTCTGAATGAACTGTAGCAAAGTCGGAGTACATGACGTGTATGTGAACTGGAGGCAGTGGAGGGAAAGCTGGTCACCTGATTCTACATTACCATGACTACACCGGCCTGAAACCATGGAAACCTGGCAGGTCCCGGGCACCGAAATTTTGATGCACTAAAAAAGTAAAAATAATTACGTGTTGTACAGTATACTAGTACAGTACAGTACTAGTACCAGAAAAGAAAAGAAACGCACTATTTTTTTTAAAAAGTAACTAAGTAACTTTTTTTTTACCGTTGTACATGTAGTCTAGTACTAGTAGTAGTACTAGTAGTCGGAGACAAGATGGCAATTATTATTGATAGAAACACAACCAATCGACGACCAACAAACACTGATTCGTTTTGACAGAAACGTTTTCTCCAGAATTCATCAGTGAAGCATTGAGCAATGATTATAATCGTCAACACCAAGACCGCTCACGCAATCAGGCTAACGATTCGGCAACGTGCAACATCGACATCGTTCACTACTTGCGCCTACTTTTTGGTGTCGCAATCATTTGGAGTGTCCCAGTTATCCCTCCTAATGCCTGGTAGTGGCTGGCACATCATGTGACATGATTGTATGTTTGTGCGTGCATGCTATGCGATGACAGACATGACAGCATGTCACAAGGCGGATCGAAGGCGACACGTAGAATCTACGTGCGCCGACTTTGTACCACTAATCTTTGCAACGCTGACGCGCACCCTGGTGCTGGCGCAAAGATCCCAGCCTACCCAGCCAGGCCAGGCCCATAGCCTAGGCCTCGACCAAAATAATGCTTGCGCATATTTCCGCATATTTTGTGAGACAGTTCATTATGGCATATTGAGCGACAAAGGGAATATTGGAATGAAGCCAGCATAATACAAATATTCTGAAGAAAACGAGGACAAAACATTCATATTATGGACAAAATGCGTTCAGGAATGCCTTTTATGGATGAATTTGGAATGGTTGAGGCGTTTGCTACATTTCCCCATGGATGAAGACTATCGCTACGGTTGCTGGGGACACACCCCAGCCATACTATTCTGCATGTGATTTGCACCATGGCATAAGCATGATAGCCGTGAAGCCTGTGAATATTCCAAGGTTGCAATTTCACTGAAATGATCGACACTTTCTGCTTATGTCGAGCATATTTTGGCATATTTTGGCATAATCTTTTTTGCATATCTTGCTAAGCCTTTTATTATGGACGTTTTCCCTGATATGCGACAAGCATAATATTATGCTCTTTTTTTAGCATATTTGGTCGAGGCCTACCATAGCCCCGGATCCCGGACCGGACTCTCGACCATGTGGCCAGTGATAGCACGTGCAGTGAGCTAGTTGTGGTCCTTGTGGATCACTGGTTGCTCGAATTATCACGTCAACCATGTCCATGATGGTCAACAACTTACTTACTGCACTCTGCGGCAAAAATGGCAGCTGTGCGATAGACCTTTTCTCTATCAGATTTCTCTCGAATGTCTGTGCCGCCCTGTACCATTGACATTGTGTACTCTACGCTGTAGCTGTGTTGACATGTAGGTCATGTACAAAAGTCATGTGCGTGGACTGGTTGCCCAACGTTCGCGTTGCGCATCGCTGATAGCTCCACATAGCGTTGGTGCCAGTTGGTGCAAACCAGCTGCAAAAACAGGGCTGAGGACTGAGGTCTTCACAGCTAGACGGCAGATATGGATCTCGTCTCGGGACTCTTGCCTAGGCATAGTCCGCCTAGGCATAGTCCGCAGATTCCTGTCATTGAGTCTGGCCTCTCTCCTTTTTGCAACTGCTGACTATCTGCGTTTGCTAAACGTCGTAAACAACGACGGTTACGGTTACGTGGTGCATTGGTGGTCCCTGATACACAAAACGTGGTTTCACCGCTGCGTGATGGTCACGTCACGTCATGTGGCATTTGTTGGAAGGGCACTGCACTGGCGCATATATGGGTGCATAAATATCTGGGGCAACAGTCGATCTTGATGAATTCAAGGAGTGGCTTGCTTTCTTCTTTGATCGAACAAGGAGAGGAGAGATTTGGCTGGACACTTGCAGAATTATATCTATCAGTGCGGAGAGAACTGTCTTTGTTCACTTTCGAAGTTTCGTGCTGCAGTCTGAAACTCCTATCCGCAGAAACTAAAATTTAAAAAAATCTTCTATTAAATTTTATTGGTTGATGCGGCGGAATTATTTAGAGGGGCTTGTATTGGTGCTGCGGCTGGTGGTGCCTTGAATCGGTGCCGGTGAGCTCCTTCTATTCTGATTTGGTGGACCAGCGATACGTGAAGGTGGACGAGATGTCGACCAGTGGCAGTGGCAATGGTATCCTGGAGGGATTCTTTGGTTCTGTCAGCGGCAGCGTGGAGCGCTGGACTGGCATAGAACTAAACCTGAGTACCGTGCTGCTGGTCGTCGGCGTAGTGCCCGTGCTGCTGGGTCTGCGGGCGGCGGGGAGAATACACAGGACGGTGCGCTCGGGCCTGTCGCTGCTGTCGGGCCCGGGCACCGTTTCACGTGCTGCTGTGAAGCACATCATGGAGAACTGCGAGCCAGGCAACCCGGAGATGGCGTTGAAATGCGCCGACGAACTCGATGCCAGCGGAAAGCACTTCCTGATCCATATCGGGGAGGAGAAAGGCAGATTGTTCGACAGCGCTGTTAGGGAGCACCGCCCGACTGTCGTACTGGAACTGGGCGGTTACTTTGGGTATTCCGCGCTGCGCGTAGCGCGTCTGTTGAGCGCCGACGACAACGCCAAACTCTACTCGATGGAAATCAACAAGGAGTGCGCGGAGAGCTGCCGTACGCTGCTCAAGTTCTGCGGCATGGACGATCGCGCCGAGGTGCTGAACTGCGCAGCGCAGGACGGCATAGCAGAGTTCCGCGAACGAACCGGCCGCTCGTCCGTCGACATGGTCGTCCTCGATCACTGGAAGCCGTTGTACCTGCCAGACCTGAAGCGGCTGGAAGCCTCTGGTCTCATGCACCCGGGAACCGTGGTCCTGGCAGATAACATCTTGTACCCGGGCGTTCCTGACTACAAGGAGTACGTGACGACGAGTCCCAAGTATCGTACAGTGATGCATACTTGCAAGATGACAAGCTTCACGGGTGTCGAAACGGATGATTCCGTCTCCGTATCCGTCTACCTGGGCGAGCAAAGTGACAGATGAGACGTCGGCGCTGACTTGTTTGGCCTCCCGCAATTTGTGTGTGTGTTTGTGTGTGTGTATGGGCGTGTGTGTGTGTACGGGCATGTGTGTGTGTGTGTGCATGTGTGTGTGTGTGTGCGTGTGTTGTGTGTGCTTGCGTGTGTGTGTATGTGCGTGTGTGTGTGTGTGTGTATGTGTGCGTGTGTGCATGCTTTCACTGTTTGTATCTTCTCACGATCTTCTGGGCAAGCAATCGCCTCTGAAGACTAGACCGCCGACTACTAGGGCAATATCACTGGGAATATACTCTGGATGTGCGATCTTGCATGCGCGAATGCGTGTATAAGTGTGTGTGTGTGTTTGTGCCCGTGTCTGCGTACGTGTGTGGTGTGTCTGTGTGTCACGGAGACTCTATTTTCGATTTGGCCGAGTTGCCGGAGACTCGTCGCTTCTCCCAAACCGTGCAATCGTTGCGAGATCCTCAGCTTTACTTGTACTCTCGCGGAGACGTCTCCCGCTCAGCAGAGGTGACTGTTGACTCGCGATTGCTCTCTGCCTTCGGGCAATGCCGTGGAATGTCTCAGTGCTTCTTGTCAGTTTAGCACGGGTGCATGGAATTGTCCTCCTCTGACTTCCGAAAACCTTGTCTGGCCTGTGGGCTCTTTTAAAACACACTTACCTAATGTCTTGTGCTCCGGAGTACTGCGCGTACTCCTCTGTTTGTCGAATCTAATCGCATTCATTATCCTTTGCTCTGTCATGCGGCAACTTTCAAATTCTCAATACAGTTAGTCCGGTTATAATTCTGTCAATTGTGTTGCGTCCAATATGATTATACACCCTTGCGCTGTGTTGTGTGTCAGGGGTGCTCGGTCGGCCCGTCACCGTCCAGTTCACATGCTTCGTGACTTGGCGATGGTGGGGGGTCGGGTTCCCCTGCCGTGATTGGTGCTGCACCGAGCTCGTTTTGTGTGAAAGTAGAACTATTATTATTATTCTTATATCTATACTTTTTTTTATACACCCTTGGCATACTTGACCGATGCCATCGGAATTTCATTGGAAGCGCGACACTATAGATGTTGGAGGAGTAGTGGAGTACACACACACGCGCGTGACGTGTACAGCTGGTGTGCGGAATATCTGTGTCAAATCTTTATTCTCGCGACGGCCTGTACGTGGCCGATAAGAAATAACATAGTAGTAGTAGTGATGCCTTTATCGTATGTCCTTATCCAAATAGAGTATATACTTACACAACGGTGATACGCTTCGCCTACTTTTAGCCTTCTGGCGTTCTTCTGCTCTTTTATCTCTCCCTACTGATTACTGACACATTTGATTACGACAGATAAATATTATGTAATGTCACCCCCACCCACCCTCCCCTCCGCTATCATATTATTGGGCAATGATCCCGTTTGACTTTGCGAAGTAAAATAAAGAATACAATAATTATACAATACAATAATACAGTCAACTTCGCTTATAACAACACTCGGCGGGGCGTCAGAAAAGTGTCCTTATTAGCGAAGTGTCGTTATACCCGAAGTCTCATTGTATGTACTACAGTTGGATGGGACTTTGCTCTGGGCATGGAAATTCTGTCGTTATTCCCGAATTGTCGTTATTAGCGAAGGTGACTGTAGTAAGATTTCGTACATCACAAGGAGGGTTTGGAATGCGTGATTAGTATGATGCGGACAGTTCATGGCTAGCAGTGATCACACTAGGTGTACTGGTGAGAGTGGCTCGTGCATGAGCAAATTGAATTGAGCAGCAGGGATGATCTATGTTTAGGGCTGAAACGGTTATTACGAATAACCGGTTATGTAGCCGTTAGGGCCAAACAAACGGATGACGGGGTGATCGACGGTTATGCAGCGTTTTCCAGTCGAGTCACCGAAGTAAACGCTGACGCATAGCCTTTGGCGGATCATGCTCGGTGAATTGCTGAATTATTATGCTTTCCATTTTGCCCAAATTATGCCAGTGATTATGCTACATTATGCTGGAATTATGCCAATGATGGTGCTATACTATGCTGCGGTCCAATCTATTGGTATGGTGAACTCAGCACAAACAGTCTGTGGCGGATCATGCTCGGTAAATTGCGGAATTATGCTTTCCATTCTGGCCAAATCATGCCAGTGATTATGCTACATTGTGCTGGAATTATTACTAAGAAAGTGGTGGACATCACGCAAATGCATCATAAAGAAAAGGGGGGGGGGTTGCCGCTCTGTTCAGTTATTCACAATCGCCAGATTGCACATGTGTTTGGTTACAACACCGGGGGGGGGGGGGGGGGGGGGACAATTCAAGAGAGGGCTTCATTCTTAAGGTACTAGTACTCTTTTCGCGGCTGTATCTGGGCCGACCGCACAAGAAGAGGCATTACTTTGGTCCCACACAAGCAAATCACTCCAAATTTTCTCCACACACAGATGAAAGGGTAGTGATTGCAGCAGCAGAAAATATATTGTCATGCTTTGCGAGATCCTTGGAAAATGTAAATCAGAATGTACACATTCTGTCGATATGACGGGCTACACATTTTCTTAAAAAAATGTCCAGGAAAAGACTATTTGATGGGTCCAAATTTGTTGGATCCAAACCATCTAGGTCTGGGGAAGGGCACCTGGGTCAGCAGAAGTCCATCCAAAGGAACAAAGGACGCACAATACACCTTATAAAACAACGTATATAATACGCGACCGTGTTGCAACATTTGAGAGAGGGCAAAGATTGTTCTAGTTAAAGTGTTGCTCTTGAAAACACCCAGGTGCCCTAGGCCTGGGCATCACCTTTCCAAAAATGTATACTTTGGGGGGTGTCCAGACACTTTATCCAAGAGAAAACTTCAGAAAACACACTCGCAGTAGGCTAAAAACAGTGAAAAAAAGGGGTCCAAAACAGACAAAAATGCAGGCATAAGCTGTAATGTCAGCAACAAAACCTCACCAAACCAAGCTAAAATCCACCAGCCTCATATGTGACACCTTCTTGCTCTGTTCTTTGCTCTTCCCAGCCCTTTTTCTTTCTTCTCCTCTTCTTTCTTGTGCTTTTTTGCAATGCTGAACTGGCCACTTCGGCATGTGCAATGCGGTCCGTATCCTCCTTCTTCAGTGCCTTGATGGTGTTATGGCCAACAGAACACGACATTTCTCTTAAGAACTTGACAAGGGCTCATGGCACCATCATTGAAAGTGCATGTAGCAAGATTTGCAGCGAGCTCCACCAAACAGCGACCTGCATTGACTTCCTTCGGGCACATGCGCCACACGACACCATTGAATGCTTCTTTGGCATTTTGTGTGGCACCAAGCAAGCACCGTTTCAGAAGTGCCTGGTCTGCCAGTCTTCGGTAAACAGGCACCAGCAACTTGTAGATGGCCTCTGGCTTCGGGATTTTCTGCTAACAGCTGCTGGGCAGCGTAGTTGCGGCTTTTCTCGCCAACCGTGTGTGCAGCCTCAATTGCAGCTTGTTGGTGTTTCTGGAAGTTCGTCTTGTTGACAGGCTTGGGGAGGTCCATAATGGCACAGAATTTCTGGAGACCAGAGTGTCCTCGGCCAATGGGCCTGGCAGCTAAAACGGAGCATCGGTTGACGTCAAAAAATCTTGTTCTTATGGACGATGAAAACTTGACATTAGCACCAGGACATGATTCTGATGAACAGGATATGACCATGTGTGATCCTAAGCCTTGCTGTCTCTCCTTTTCCAAAATGATACCGCCAACTTTACAAACTGCACACACATTTCAGCAGAATCTCCTGCAGCTGCTCCAAGTCGAAAATACGTTTCCCGCACCAGTATGGGGCTCATCAGCCTCGAAACAATCACTGTCATCACTGCTGTCACTCGTGTCTGGGTTCGAGGTCAGTGAGGTATCAGACTCCGTTCCAACATCGCCATCGCTGTCTGATGTCTCCTGCTCCCACCAGGGTTTGCAGCCGACGAGCTTTGCAAATGAAGAGCTACGTCCAATATCTTCTGGCTCCGCTTCCACAGGAACAGGGTTAGGATCGGGAGCTGTTTCAGGCTTCTTTCCATAATATTTCTTCTTTTTGGCAACGTAGTATCTACCTTTCCATTTTTTTGTTTCCCATCTTCAAGCTCGATCAGCGAGTGCAGAATAGTTGCTGTTTGTGATGCAAAAAGCGCAAGGGAACCCAGTTTTTACGCTGGGTCGCCATTTTGTGCAGTCATGGTAACGAATATTTGAATTTTTGCCACGTGGCATGAGTACTCATTTTTGCTCTTCTGACAGCTAGCATGGTCACGCTGCAGTGCGTACATCGTACATACCCACGCACTTCACTGGCCTGTAACTCTGCAAAGACTGTGCCGATTCGCCTCAAATTTTGGATTCCACAGGTTCAGGGCCTTGTGCGTCCACTGAAAGAGTCAAAAAAGCCGATTTCTAAACTTCGATTTTTGACCCTACAAAGGAGTACTAGTACCTTAAGGGGCAGGGAAATTTTTCGATGACTCTTATAGACTGGGGCACTATTCAAGATAGGGCAGACCAGTATTCAAGAGAGAGCTCTAATCGCACGAGTACGACAGACAGTCATCATGTACCATTGTATCTTGTATGGCTGTCATGGAGTGCAGGAAGGTACAGTAGTGATCCTGCGCTGTCGACTTGTTTTATTCAAAGCCCCACAGTTTAGCAACCACCTGCTCGTAACGACCGTTTTTCCATGCACCGACAGTTCTACACAAACACTGTGGGACCTGGTTCTAAAGACCACCTGGCTTTAACGACCGCTTTTGCTTGCACCTTGAGGTGGTCGCTTAAATCAGGTTTTACTGTAATAGCAAGAAGGTACAAGAAAGGAGCTAGAGAGAAAAAGGGAAACCAAGGAGGAGTCCAGGTGGAAAAGCATAAATAAAGATTACAACATTGAAAGGATCGGTCACGAAATACGGTTAATTCCCATCGTGGGTAGGATGATTATTCAATTGACATCTCTACGCAAGAAGTAGGTCGTTATTATTTAAAACAATGAAAATAAACATTTTACCAAGCATGCCTGCGGAAAGACGCAGAACATACTATTTTTGATGCAGCCAGCCTACACATCATGCAAGCGGCATTGGTGGAGAAATGATCGTGCGCTAGTGACGCACAGACAGTAACCGGAGGAGTTCAAACATACTCATTATTAGATTTTTGGTAAGGAAAGCAAATCAGCACACGAAGCACAGAAGCCATAATTATTTCGACTAGCTATTGTGTCCATGCTCTGCCCGCCAAAAGTTCCGGATATAAGGACTTGGTAACTAACTTGTAAATCACCATTGTATTCGACCTGAAGAGTAATGGAATGAAAGGCCTAGTCGAAAAATTATAATTATGGCTTCTGTGCTTCGTGTGCTGATAATCATTATAAGTATTATAGTACTCCTCCAAGGCATGGGTGTGCTGCTCTTTGGATGGCATTGCTCATTAGTGCAACGGCAAGAAGTATCCCCCTTACATTTAACCCAGTGTCAGGGTTGGCTCTGGTGAAGAAAATATTTGAAACATGGAAGCTGGACCTTTACTCATGTTTGTAACTGACATGGTGCTGAATATCATTAACCAGTCCATCTACATTTTACATTAAATTTAGGAGAATAATATTCATCCTATTCATAGAATAATATAGGAAATTGTTATTCGCACGTTACACTGTAGGAACGTACAGTGTATAGAAAAGAAAAAGGACCAAGGAACTACAAGTTACGCTGTAATGTCCACTAACACCACCAGTTACTAAACAATCAGCTCATGCGATAACATTGCATTGGTGGTGTTAGTTTTTTCGGCCTCTTTTACGGGC